AAAAGCGAGCGCCGCCGGGCGGTGCGGGCATTTCTCGCGCGCCTTCCAGACCGGCAACCCGGCCAACGCGACGCATCCATTCCTTCGACGTTAGATCGAGTCTTATCGAGACTGTTGCTCAGATCGCGTGCATTAGGAATCGAAGAACAAAGGGGAAGAAATATATCGTGTAAATTTGTCGCTTCGTCTGTTGGTTAAGAGACGGCTTGTTCGAAATGGACCATTAGTTTTTGTCGTTTGTGCGAGACAAAGGCGTCGAGACACAAAGGACTGACGCTTTCGAGCGAGATTTCAGGAAACAAACGACCTCGTATGGACCTTCTAGTGGAAACTGTTCAGCCACTGTGATCGTTGTTCCGAAGTGGAAGTGTAGAGGAAAAAAGGAAGGACGAGTTGCGGACGAAATGAAGTTCAATGGAAGAGAGTAGAGTCGACCGGGACTTAATTATTGGTTTCGGGAGTTCGGCAGATCGAAGTGGTTGATGGATCGATAGATCGAACGTTATAGTGACGAAGTTTCCGCGTGCCGTCCGGTGAATCTCTTTTATTGGTCCCATAAATCGCAACTATGACAGGAATCTCTCGTTGTTGACACAGCACGTAAGGAGGGACGCTGCTCGGCAGACGATTTAGCGCTATCTGATCGGACACCGGCCAACAGGTAAGAAGTACAATAAGACGAATCCGTGGAAGGTAGATGAGAAACTGCGATCGAAATGGTAGGCCAGCTTCTTCTGGGATGTCTAAGAAGAAGATCGATGTAACACGATGATTGGTTTTCAGCGTAGAAAAGTTGAGATTTCTTTTGGAGATTGCAGCGATTGAAATTATCCTTCGATGAAAGAACCTTTATGGCGCAACTGGGTTATATTTTAGATCTGGTTGCGCAGACTGTAGCGATTGAAATTCGTACATTCTTTGTATCCGAATAAGAAGATGTCAGACTCGGTTAGAGGTGTCGTCCCTGGTTATACAAGTAGAAGGTTCATTCAAAAAGTATATTTGATAAATTCGATAGTCTATGCAGTTTCTAGGACAGACCACCTTTCTCGATCGAGAGAATATAGAAAACGCTGCTTAGAATTCATAGAACGTAAACCTCCGAGCTTCTATGTAAACGGAATTCGGGACTCTCGAACCAGAAATCTATCGATTTCAGTAACGTCATTTTTGTCTTCTAACGTTCCTTGTAGAGTATTACGTCTTCTTCGCAGAATCATCCAAAACGAGAAAAATATGTTTCTATCGCTGACGATTAGTAAAAAGAACAATTTTCGTCTACGTTGAACTACGATTCGACCCTGATAAACATTCACAGTCTGTCGGTCAACGTATCTACAAAATGCCCTCGAAGCAATAAATTCCTTTATCCGACTCGTTCAACCAAAAACAAATACAGCGATTACGCGCTTGGTTCGATAAAATTCCCAAATTACCCCAACAGTAGGATACTCGATAGATCGTTACAGACGGCGAAACGTCGGTAATCCATCCGAGGAACGAGCACATCGATTCGACGCGCGCAGTTTCTCGCGTTTGGTTTCGTAAACGCTACACGTCCGAACGGAAAAAGCATCTTATCGAGAAGGGTATACGCATTCTGTCCATCGAGAGAGGGTGACGTCCCTCTTTGTCCATAGGGAGGGAAGAGCAGAGCGTGCCACCGTTACGGATCGCCCCCTCGTAACGAGCGCTTTGAATCGGACACACTGTCACGTCGTGGAAACACGACGTCTCTAAGTGGCGGTCCCGCTTCATTAAATTCTGTTATCCGTCGGAGAGCATTGTCCCGCGGCCTGGTCCCGGGGACACCTGGCAGCCCAGAGTTCAACCGACAATGGAACGGTACGCGCCACCCGCGCATTATCTCGCAATTATGCGCGTAGCCCGAGCGTGTTCGAGCGATCGTTTGGGCGTGGCGGAAGAAGAGCCACACACGAGCAATCCACTCGTTACCGGGGCATTGAAAGCCCGAAAAACGCATATGCGAACGCGTCGTTCGCTCGCGATCCTGTGACCGGAGGGCGGATGCGATGTAAGCACCGTGCAGTTCCGTGAAAACATGCTGTTGTATGCTATAGGGACACAGAGGGTGGGAACGTGGATTGTGGACACGTTGACATTGGGAGAACGTTGGAAGTAACGCGACTTGGAAGATCGTTGGATGAGATGACGAGTCATTCGCGTTGCTAATTTCTTCGATATCGTAATATTTTCGTTCAAAGAATCGTTGCTCCTTCGCGCGATCCTGCGATTTTCCGCAAAGAAAAATACGTTACTATTATCCACGTAATTGAAATTGTCTTTGCCAAAATATACGTTCGCTGAAAGGTTAAGAGGCGATTGGAGATTGGCGTGAAAGCAGGAATAATTAAAAAAGGATTGTTTCTGGGTTAATTTGCTCAAGGGTTTACGTTCTTCCGACGATTAACGCGAGGATTCGTCCCTTTGCCATTGAAATTTTCTTCCATCTGTCGCTGAAACAACCGTATTCAACCTTTGATACGTATTACCATCAATCACAACCCAATACCCTGCATAAAGTAAAACGGATCGTCAAACATGTACATTTTCTTGCGGCCGGTACACGCGATCTCGACTGCCGTGTCTTTATACCCGTAGAATCCTGACCACCAAACGCATTCCGCTCTTGCGAGACCGCCGTAGAAGACATCGATCGAAATTCGACGCCAACGTCGCGGCGATCGAAGCAATAAGGCAGCTTGCAATCGACTCGGAGAGGAGGGATGGTTCGATAGGGGTTGGAGGGATGGCTTTGATAAAAGGACACCGGGGCCAGGGCGCGGTTTACAAAGGGCGAAAGGAGGCACAGGTGTAGAGAGAGGAGCGGCACGAGGTATCTAGCGGCGCAATTACCTGCCGCCGGAATTACCCACGCGCCTGTGCATCACAATTAATTCGTAATTAAATCCTTTGGCTAGGAGGCGTGGTCCTTTTCAGCGACGTATAGAGAGAAGCGTGGTCGGTCGGTCGGC